CTATTTCATTCAGGTACATTTGTAAAGGTTGCCATAATAAAAAAGGGTAAATGATTCAGAATTTGAAAATAAAAATGAGATCTGAAAACTGCATTTACTTTATTTGCAGTAGTTAAACAGTAATATACATATTTCTAAATGGGAAAGGTTGACCTGAATTTTTTATGAAACTACACATTTCCTCGTTTTCAGTTGCTTTGAAAATAAGCTTCTTGACAGAGAAGAAAAATTTCTCTGGCTCTCATTTAGTTTTGTCAATTTGGGTCTACAAATTAGCTCTTGGGAAAATAGAACAGAAAAAAAAAAAAAATACCCATACATAAACTGTCCAACTATTCACCTCTGGCATGATAATGCCCCAGCAACTGATTAGGTCACCTAGTTTGGGGTCAAATACACTACCAAAAATACAGTTCTTCTAAAGTTACTTGGGTTTTTAAATTATGTGTTGAATGAGGCACTCTCTAATCTTATCCAATGCTCAGAACATATGAATAAAATTAAATATATTTGTGAACTGTATAATTCGTGGCCTGGAAAAAGTCAAGGGAGACTTAAATGCTTATATAGCAAATGCAAACACACCAGACTCTTAACAGCAAACTCTTTTTAGGGGTCTGAAGTTTGGATTTGCATTGTCATGTGGTTGGCCATAACTTTTAATTGTGAGATTAAAAAGATGGTTAGATAGCATCACCAAATCAAAGGAAATGAAACTGAGCAAACTCTGGAAGATAGTGAAGGACAGAGAAGCCTGGCGAGCTGCAGTCCATGGGGTCACAAAGAGTCAGACATAACTTAGTGACTGAACAAACAACAACAAACTTTTAATTAAAATAGAAGGGATGAAGACACTCGAACACACTGTAAATAATTCAGTTGTTTGCTCTGCAAATAATTCAGTTGTTTGATATAAGTACAGCTTGTCTCATACTCTTCAATAATATTGCAAAGAGAGAGCCTATAAATCATTCTGAAAACAGAAAAATCAAGGCTGAAAAAGCCTAACACTTTCATAATACAGTAAAGACTAACAAAAGCATAAAACCGTTGTTTCTTTTTTTTTTTTGGCCACACCCCACAGCTTCCAGGATCTTAGTTCCCCTATCAGGGATTGAGCCCCAGCTTCTCCTAACCAGTGGACCACGAGAGAATTACCAAGATCATCATTTCCAAATGCAGTAATTTCTTGCACATCTCAAGCAACATTTCCACATGAGTTTTGCTTTTTTTTTAAGGAAAACATCTTTAGTATCTCTGGAATTTTGCTTGTTGTTATTTTGTTGCACTTTTAATTGAATAGATAATGTTTTAGGAAATATTGTATTTAAATAGAGTGGTGAGCTTACTGAGGGCAAAGTACCACAACTGCTCACACACTCCTAGTATCTTATATAGTTTCTGGTCTACAAAGACTGCAGAAACAATATTAATTGACTAAAGAAAATTCTAAAATTTTAATAATTAATATTTTACAAACAAGCTTTATTTGGCCATTATTTCTTTTAACTGGAGCAAGGCTCACAAAACAAGAATTAATACATTTTCTTTCTTTAACCTTACTGTATGACTCAAATTGTCCTTACCATATTATAATTTTTAAAATTAAATGCTATGTCTAAACCTAGAAAATAGTTATTTAGAAGATCAGTCCTTTCCTGTTTTATGCTTTGAGGTAGAGGAAAAAATGTCCCATAAAAAGTAAATTACATATATGCAATTCTGAATCCAATTCTAGATATTCATATTTAAATTTTAATAGTCTTAAGGAGTATATTTTAGTAATTCTGTGGAAATAAAACCACTTAAATGCTTTTTACTGTTTGTAAATATCATTCAATGCCATCAACAGGATAATCTCTCTTCTTTCCAGATCTCATTTTCTCCACAACAGGTTTCCATGACAACTTATATTTAAATTTTTATAAATTTCTAATATATTTTTAAGGATACAATTCATAAATATAAAATATAAGCTTATTTACCAAGTTAACCTGAACAATTTAGACTGCTCAAATATGTATTTACATCATAAATTAAAAGCAACAGAGGAGGGGGAAATGCCAACCAAAACGAAAGGCAAAAATACAATGCTGTAAAATTCAATTACCTAGTTCCTATCACTGTTGTTTCAGTGGGCCACCTTAGACTATATAAGTTAGAAGTAAAACAAATCTACTATATAATCAAGTCACTCCCCTCAATACTGGGAAAAGATAAGGACAATGATGAAACAAGCATAACAAATTGAAAACAGAATTTGCACAGTTAAAATTGTTCATCTCAAGTACATCAATAAAAGATGAACTAATGTAAAATGAAAAAGGGTTTATAAAAGTTAAATACTTCTATTAAGAATGACATCAGTAAGACCACAGCTGAAACAAACCACTTGATAATTGATTTTATGTCTCCTAGAATCATGTCCATGAAAAATATAATTTCATCCAGTGACCTCCCAATGTAATTCTATTTACCAAAGTAGTCAGGTAATATTGTCAGTCAATCATCTGAACTATAAGTGTCCATAAAAAATATTAAATCACATGAAAATAGAATGGTGACTTCTGAGTACTCTTTTTTAAGCGACCCTTAATAATTTGAAAAGGAATTTTTCTGAAGGTAAGTCCCACAAATGTTAGCCAACCTGGGGAAAAAAAAAGGAAAAACATTACATATAAACTGGTCAATAAAAATCAAAAGTTAGAACAGGGTTCATTTTAAGAAAACTGGAATCCCATATTTGCACTCTAATGTTGGGTAGTGCAACCGAAGACCAGGGAAAAAATGTATATGTATGCATACACACACACATATACACACACACACAGACATGTCATAGATGACCTTTCAAAGTTAGAAGACTAAGGACTGTCCTATGCTGCATTAAATCTCAAGAGCAACACTACCTGCAGAGATTTCACAAGCCAGATAGTCAGTTATAATCAGTGGTTGCGGTGGAAAGGGCCTGGGAAGGGTGTCACGAGGCCTTCAGCGTCATTTTGGCTTTGCTAATAACTTGCTCCATGACCTTGGCCATCACTTAGCATCTGCAGTCTTCCTTTTCCTCATCTGCAAACTACAGGTTCCTCATGAGGTGACCTCAACGAAATTTTCCAGGTCTCTCATTCTCAGCTGATTCTGTTCCTAATGGCTCTTTGAACTTAAATTAATCTCTAATCTATCTGTGTTCTTTTCCTCACCTAAAATGGATGCAGGTCAAATTCTTAATATTATTACAATAAAATCTTAGTAAGATTTTTAAAAAACTATTTTCAAGTTAATGCACTACCCTTGGACCATTAATTCATAGAACCAAATTCCACAGCAGTAATAACCTTGAAGCTGCTCCTGTGCAACCTAGCCTACAAAAAGTGCATTTTATTATCATGAATAAAGATAATAAAACATCCTGGGTTTTTATACCACATAAAATAACAAAATTATATGATGAGTCTGAAAACCAATGCAGATTATCTTTTTAGTCGCCAATTGGACTATGGCACACAGCTGGAATCCAAAACAACAAAGATAATGGTCATGAGTCTGTGATTTCATTTAAATAAATAAATAAGTGCACTTTTTTTTTCCTGAATGCCAACTCTTGCTGAATTCATAGAATGGTCTTAAAAGGAAGATCTCAGAGTTGAAGTTATTAATTTTATATTCAAACATGAGAATGTGAACACAATAGAATTTATGTGTGCACTTAAATACCAGATCCCATAAAGTAGCAATGCTTTAAATTGTCTCTTTGATAGTCTATATCAACTTGCAAACAAAATACAAGCTTGGACTTCTAAAGTGGTATCAGAAGCACATCTTCTGACATGTTACCAGATAGCTGCACAATGTCTCAGATGCAGAGACTTCTGACAGGCAGAGGAACACAATGATGAGGATGGAGCCAAACTCAAGCTGGGATAATTCCCATTTTGCACAAGGAGGATCTTTTCTGGGTGTCAGAAGCAAACCAGACACATGCAGTTGCAAAGATTTAGCTAAATACAGTACTCCATTCTCACATATAATCAAAAACTATCCACATGCTGCGTAATTTGGGGTTATTTCTATTTCTTTTATTTCCTTTAAAATTAGAGTAACCATTATTAGTTACTTTTATCATCTCTTCATTGGGATTTTGAAGAATCAATCCAGTGTCAAAGACTAAATTTAAACTGTCACTCAAACTAGAAACTGAAAAGCAACATTGAGTATGGGATCAAAATCTATAGAATAAAATAAAGTTGCCTACAATCTAAATTAAGAGACTCCCACTGAACCAGGGTCACAGAAGTGTCCAATCAGCATTGAACCTGTAAAAGACACAGCGCAAGGGGAAAGACAAGAGACTCCAAAATTCACTGCACAGGTGGGCTATCCCGTCAGCTCACTGGGGCAAGCGGACTCAGCACTGCTCCCCCTCGGATGGAGACAGGACCAAACGATATTCAGGAGGTTGTCCTTCCAAGATGAACCTGTTCATCTCCCGGCCCAGCCACAGACATATATTCCGTTTCCCTCTCTACTGTCCTCAGATTAGATTCCTAAGTGGGGCCACTGCTCTGGGTGAGTCAGGAGTGCCAGACCTCACTGGAAAATCAAACCCTGATGATCGGAAGGCCTGGAGGACCCTCGGAACTCAAGAAAAGGTTGGAATAAAAGAGAAAAAGAAATTCCACAGGAAGCATGGTAGCGATTTCAGAACGAGGTTCCAAGAGACTTGCCCAGAGTAGTGGACATTCGCCCTGCTGGTCCCACCTGGGGAAGTAAATCTCGGTTTGAGTTGAGGAGGAGAGAAGGGGGAGGCTGAGAGGAACGGGGCGGGGGGTAGGGGGTAGAAAGGGAACGAGGGAGGGGGGCCCTGAGTTTGCCCTGAGCGACGGGCCCCCCACCTCCCGATTAGGGACACCCCGGCTGCTCCCCAAGGCCCTCTGCAGAGAGAGCAGAGGGGTTAGGAGAAGCTGGAGCAGCAGGGAAGGGGGCGCCTCTGGCCTTACCCGGGCGGCTCTGGACGAGTAGGGGTCCTCGAAGAGAGCCCACATGCGGGGCTGCAGCCTCCTCCAGCGGCCAGACTTGCCGTCGGGGCCCCCCAGGCCCGCGGCGTCCTCGATGCCCAGCCTCTTGGCCGCCAGGTCCTCGTCGTCGCCGGGGTCGCCGCCGAGGAGGTCGGGGGCCTCGAAGATGTCGAGCGCCTCCTCGGCGTCGCGGTGCTGCCGGTAGGTCATCCAGCAGCAGGGCTCCACGTCGGTCTCGTCGATGCCCCAGAAGGCCAGCTCCTCCTCGAAGAGCGGCCCGCACACGTCGGCCGGGCAGTGCAGCTTGCCGGTGCGGTAGTAGTTGAGCACGTAAGCGAAGACGCCCGGGTGCCGGTCGAAGAAGAACTCGCGGCCGCCCCCGGCGGGGTGGTCGCCGCCGCGGGCGCTGCAGTTGCGCGCGCCGCCCTCCAGGCAGCCGCCCGGCCCGGGGGACCGCGGGGGCGGCCGCGGCGGCGGCGAGCGCGCAGGGGGCGGTGGCTGCAGCGGGTCTCCCTGGGGCTCGGAGGCGGCGAGCAGGGCCAGGCGCGTCCCGGGCAGGGTCTTGAGGGTGCTGCGGTAGGTTTCGTGCCGGGTGCCCCCGACATTGAGGATCACCCTCTCGTTGCTCTCGATCTTGCCCATCTCTGTGCCTCAGACATGACTGGGGGGAGGCGAACACAGCGCCAAGTTAAAGAGCGCGGCTGGCGGAGGCGCGCTGTGTCCCCCGCCCCCACTCCCAGCCCCAGCACCCCAAGATGCAGCGTGGACGGGAAGGCGAGGGGCCACGGGGCCTTCCTGGAGAAGTCCGCCGCCCAGCCCCGTCCCCGCCTCAAGCAGCACTGAGCCTTCCCCGGGTTTCTAGAGAACTGAGACAGCAGTCCCCATCTTCCTTGACCTTTCACGACCCCTCTCCCCCAGCCTCACACCTTTCTCCCTCAGCTCTGCCTCCTGCATCTTCTCACCCCTCACCTTCTCTCAAGTTGAACCCGTTTCCAGTCCCTACACCTCCCCGGCTCTCTTACCAAACCTCTCCTTTTCCCCTCCGAGGTCCTTCCGCGTCTTCCTCTCCCGCCCCATCCTCTCCCCAGCCCGCTCCCTTTCCTCGCTCACAGGGAGACCCGCTTCCCCCTACCCTCTCCGGGAGGCAGTTCCCTCAGGCAAGGAGTTCTCTGTGCCCAGGCAACTTGACAGTGCTGGGTGAGAAACCCCCGGACTGGGCGGCGAGCCCCCCTCAAACGCCTACCCTCGGTGAACTCTGGGCGGCCCGCCGCTCCCAGGCTCCCGGGGACTGCCCTCCGCACGACCTGTTCTCGGTTCACCTCTCCTCTGCCTCCCGGGCCAGGCAAACAGACCGAACGCAGAACTCGGAGCAAAAACAAACGTCCCTGCTAGTGCCTTTCACCAAGGAGACCTCTGCCTAATTTCCTGATCCAGTTTTCTTTTCACATGATTACTGTGCAAATTATTATTACTTGGGAGAGGAAACGACTCATTAGAATCCATTTTGGAGAGTAGAAGTGATCCACGCATCTCACCCCAACCCCCCTTCGCAAAAGAAACAAACGCCTCTCGGGAGGAGAGTCAGGGGCTGCTTCCCAGGAGGGGCGAGCGGGGCGGCTCCCCGAGGGAAAGCCGCTGGAGGCACGCCCCCTGCACCACCGAGCTGGGAGTCCTGGTGACCGTGTCCCCGTTTCCGACCTCCCAGCCACCTGTCCCCGGGGCTTCGGCTCTCCATTCCTGGAGCGGAACGAAGCAGGGATGCCTGCCTCGCGGGCTCTGCACGTCCTTCCCTGCAAACCCGCCCCTCGCCCTCCCGCCCCTAGTTACCTTAAGGAGACGGAGAGGAAAGTGCTGCTGCTCCGGCGTCCGAGCGGACGAGGGGCTCGGGGCAGCCCGACTGAGTCCCGACGCCCAGCCCAGCCGCCCCGCGCCAACGAGAAACTACTTGTTGGCGTCTTCCGGGTGCAGGTGGTTGGGCCGCTGCCCCGGGGGCCGGGCTGTCGGAGACAGCGCCCACCGGCCGTGCGCCGCGCCGCCCGCCCTCATTCCGCGAGCGGCGGGCGCGCCCCGCGCCGACCTCGGCGCCCAGAGGCAGCATCGCGCGGGGCTGGGCGGACCATGGAGCGCGGGGCGGGCCCCGCCGGCGCGCCGCGACCCCGCCGGCAGCGGCCGCCGCGCCGCCCACCCGAGGCCGGGGGGCTCATCCGCCCGCAGGCGAGCCCGCCCTCCCGCCGGCGCGGACCGCAGGTCTCCTTCCGCCCCCCAGGCGGCCGCGGCCGGAGCCGCCCCTCCGCGCCGCTCGCCGCCGGCCTCTGCGCCCGAGCCCGGAGCGCGCAGAGCGGCGGGTGGGCGGCGGGTGGGTCTGGGGAAGCGCGGCTGTGCCAACCAGGTTCAGCTCCTTTCCTTCAGGGAGCCTCTGTCCCCGCCCTCTCTGGAGCGGCTGTCCGCCCTGTTTACACCCCACTCTCCACACCCTTTCTCTTCCCGCTACCCCACCCCTCCCAACAAGTGAGAGCGAAAATCTGAGACCAAGCGCGGTTTTTTTATTTGGTTTTGTTTTTCTTAATGGCAGCCGGAGGGAGCGAGCTCTACTTACAGGTGACAAGTGAGTCCGGTCTCCGGCGTCTTATCCATGGCTGTGGCTTGCTCTTTTCAGTCAAATGTAGGTCTCCAGTCACCACATCATGGTTATATAAAACAAAACAAGTTTTAAAAGTTTATTCCAGGAACATAAGGCTCTAGCAAGTGAAAAGTCAGGTTTATCAGAAGCTTAAAAAGACAAACTACAGATATCCAAATACTAAAGCAGTGATCTCATTAGCCAGTTTCTCCCTTTATAAAAATTTAATTGGGCCCTGTATTAGTTTGCTAGGGCTGTCAATAATAGAGTACCACGAACTGGGTTTTTTAAACAGCAGAGATTTATCATCCCCCAGTTCTGGAAGCTCAAAGCTCCAAATTAAGGTGGTGTCAAGGTTGGTTTCTTCCGAGGGCTGTGAGGAATGGACCTCTTCCAAGCCTTTCTCCTCGGTTTATAGATGGCTGTCTTCGAGCTTTGTCTCAACCTCATTTTCCGTTTATGCACGCCTGTCTCTGTGAACAGATTTCTCCTTTGAACACTAATCATACTGGATTAGGGCCCACCTTCATGATTTCATTTTAACTTAATCACATCTGTAAAGACTCTAACCACAAAGAAAGGGACACTCTGAGGTACCGGAGGCTAGGAGTCCCACAATCTCTTTTGGGGGGCTGTGGTGATTGGGGGGAGGTTTGAGGGGGAGCCTGAGACATAGTTCAACCCATATTAGACCTTACCACCAAACAGAGGGTGCGTTTCTGTGACTGTGTGTATATTTCTAGAAAGAAAAGGTTGGAAGAGAGAGACCACAGTCCATGGAGATAGTTTGATAGGATTGACGTTGAAGTCCATGGAGTAGGTGAAACACCAGGTTGTATGTAGGAGAAAGTGCCTGAAGAACAGATACTAACATAGACACTATGGAAAGAGCAAGAGTTGTGAGTACTAATGGAAACGTTTTAGCAATATACAGTACTACAAGATAGGCAATTAACTGTAAACAACTCACTAAAGAAAATTCCTACCTGTTAAGACTGTAAATACCTAAACAAAGTGAAGAAAGATCTTTGGAAGGGCACTGATGTCTAGGAAACTAATGCAAGAAAATATGGTAAGTATACATTTGTAAGAAATTTACTAACAGTATGACAGTAAATGTGTAATAATAACCTACCTAGCCTTGTGAAAGTATAAATTTGTTTTCCTAACATGTAAAGAAATGTAACACTTAAATACTGAGGTAATGATTCTAGTTTTACAAAGGCATGGAGGCATTTCTTAAGATAACAGTAATAGTATATTCGGTTGTCAGAAATTTACAAAGAAAAATTGTATTCAGATTCTAACGTGCATTCTCATTATTGTCTAGATAGTTCCTTATATAGCTTTAGTGTGAATTCAATAGGGAGAAAAAGGTATATGGTTTGCTTTGAAATAAATTAGCAATAGTAAGTATAGTAGCAGCAGCATTTATAATAATAGCATTTACTGAGAGCTTCCTATGTGCAAAATGCTTTACATAAATTACTCCTGTTGATTTAAATAGAGGAAATATTTATACTAAATTACAAGACTTCCAGAAAGATAACTCATACAGATGGCAGGAATCAATAATGAAAGCCTTCAGCTTGGTAATGTTAAGGCTGTATTATAAAGGCTCTATATAGAAATGAAAAGAAAGGAGGAAAATGATGCAGAGGACTCATGGGGGAAAGGAAAAGACAAAGACCTAGTGAATCAAGTTCAGTCTGAGATTATATAAGCTTCTCTGGAAATAATCACATTGGCAAAAGGATCTCTTTTAGAAGAATTCAGAATTTTCTTGTGATTCATAATAATAGCTGTGAAAACAGAGAAGATTTGGGATAAATCTGAAAACAAGAATATGGGAAGATAAAAGGAATAGATGCCCTTATCAATGGAGAACTGATAAATGAAACAATGAATGAGAAATGGTCTCATTTTTTTTTTCCTCTTGGTCAATATAAGAGAGGAAAATCCTAGAACAAATGTCCAGGCTTCATATATAAGACAGGAGAAAATAGAACCCTGCACCACCACCCCCACCCCCCCACCACCACCAGCTAACTCCACTGATCCTGCTGTAAAAGACCCATAGAAGTGGGAGGTGGAAGACAGGAAGCAAATCTCTGAAAGATAGCAATGGAAAACCTAGGGGGGAAAACAGTTGTGATTTCCTATGTTGGTTTATGTGGAAAAAGAATTCAAAGGACTGTGTGGACATTACTTCTTGCAGAGAAGCAGCTGAAATGCTCCTTGCTTTGTACCCTTAAGTCAGCATCATAGTAGGCTACAGAAACTGAGCAATACATCCCCACTAGAAATGTGGATCTCATGAAACCACATTGTGGCTGTCGGACGGCATACTTGTCATGTTTTAACATTTGAACAAATTAACTCTTTTAAAATCCAATAGAGGATTATTTAAATATTATTAACCTTAAGGAAGGAGCATGTTCATAAGCAAGATTTCTCTGCAGTAGTCTTAATAAATGGCTGCGTTTTCCCATCCCTTCCTTTAGGTATGCCCTTTTGTAATGTGATTTTGCATCTTCTCCCACTAAGTCTGTTTCTCCAGCCCTTGAATCTATACTGACTTTGTATCTTGCTTTAGCCAACAGAAAAAGTGGAAGTGATTCTGTACCAATTCAACACCTTGGCTTCAAAAGGCCTTGCATGCTTCTGCTCGCTCTCTTTCTTGGAACCTTACCCTAGAGCTATGACAAGTCTTAGCTGACCTGCTTGATGGAAAGAGACATATATTGCAGTGTCCTCCCACCCCACCCCAAACACACACATCTCTTTGGTGCAAAGAAAAATAGAACTAGAAAATAAGTAAGAGGACATAATAGAGCAAGGATTTAAAAAAAATAAACATCTAAAAGATATAAAGTACCCCCCACCAATAGCTAAAACCTCATCTCTGCCCCTAGAGGATGGCCAGCTAATCTCCAGAGTTAGAACTGCCTTGCTCTTATGCATGTGTCCAGAAGAGCTGTCCCAGACATGCTAACACACAGAATAAAGAGCTAAAGAAAAA